CACAAGTTCAACGAGAAGCTCGACCGTATTTATGAATTCGCAGCATCCCGATTAGCTCAGGAAGAAGAAACCACAGCCCAGTGTGCCCAACCACCTCCTTACCACGATTCTTGGGACTTCAGCCAGACCTTACCATATCCTTACGAGCAGCAGTGGGATTACGGGCCTGTTGAGCAGCCATATGAGTCTTTCGAGGACTCCTCTGAATACAATGCAAAGCTCGACCAGGCTCTCGCTCTTTTGGCATCCCAAACGGTCCGTAGGAGCAATCTGGAGTCCAGAATCGAGCACTTAGTGGAGCGCGTGCAAGCCTTAGAAGATCGAGTTACCAGCGTCACTCCCGAGCACACAGCTCAAGGCGAACCTACACATAGGGATGAGCCTCGGGAGGCTGCTTTGTCGTTCGATGAGAAGCTCGATCTCATCCTTGCTCGCATATCTGCCCAGTCCACTCGAGATGTGGAGATTGAGCTCGGGTGTGCTCGACTGAGCACACAAATGGAGATTCTTGCAGCACATACCAGCTCAATCGAGGCAAAAGTCGACGACCCCCACCTCATGCTTGATACTCAAGCCTGCACGATGAAGCAAATGTGTGAGGCCGAAGAAGATGATGATGAGCTTGATGATATTTTAGAGGAGGAGATCCATGGGCTTGATTCTCAAGTCCCTCCTCCTACCTCCGAGTTAGAGCATCCATCTTCGGGGCTATTGCATTGTGTTACGAAGAGGGTAGGATTCAGTTCGACTTGCTCCACAGATGTACTTATCATTCCGGAGGTTGATGACAGAGCTCGCGTGGGAAAAGCTCTATGTCTAGAGTTGGGAAATTGCTCGTACCCGAGACTTCTTTATACAGAACATGACCACCCGGTTCCACTATGCCCTTCGTCAAGCTAATGACGTTAAACAAGCGCTTCTTGGGAGGCAACCCAAGTGATTTACTGCTTTATTAGATATTTTTCTTTTCGCTTTTTAATTTTATCTTGGAATAATGGGAGTTTGGAGTCTCGTGATTTTCTTAGTGGCAGGGATGAGTTCGTGAGGCTGATCATAGGCGAGCTACTTGCACATGCATGCTATTTCTCCTCGAGGCACTTCGGTTTGCACACCTTTTTCTTATTTTCTCTTTTTAAGTTGTTTCTTTATTTTGTCTTTTCTTTTGAGTTTGTGTCTTGTGTTAGCTGCTAGTTTGGTTCATTATATGAAAATGTTGGGTCCTATTATGTGACTTCCGGTTTCTGTTGAAGCAATGAGGTCATTGCCTCATTGTGGGGGAGTTTATTTGGATTTTGCATGTTTATGTGGTGGACCGGTCTAGCTTTAGGTTTTTGTGTTGTTGAGCATGGTATTGGTGGATTATATGAATTGTTGATGAATGTTTGATGAAATTGGGAAGTTGTGATAACGAGCGTGTTGGTCATTGCCTCGGTATTTGCTTGATTGCTTTGAGTGACATTTATTTACCTTGTGAGGTTTTGAGCCTTATGCTTTTCTTGTGAGATATTGGTCATATTCTTGAATGATTAGAACTTGCCTTGGGTTTGTTTGAAAGGAATCGATTGAGTTTGAAATTGCGAATATGATTGAGGCGTTTTGTTTGATTAGCTCTCTTTAGCCTTGTTCTTTGATCCTAAACGTTATTTTCTCTAGTAGCCCATTTGAGCTTTGAGCCTTTTTCTTGTCACCCTACATGAAATATATTTCGTTGACTGATTCGGTGATGATTGGTGAAAATGGTGTTGTTGTTGAATGAGGTGAATTGGAGTGGATTCTATTGCTTGACCTAATAAAAAAAAGCAAAAAAAAAAAGTAAATAAATAAAAATAAAATAAAAACATGAGAGCTCACAGGACCAATCGAATGGATTCTGCTCCTCTTACTATTCGACTCATGTCGACGGGTAATGAGCATGGGAAACTACTGTAGGACACTTGGATAACCTCCAATGTTCACACCTACAGAATGTTGTCCTTTTGATTCGATCTTGTTCGGAAAAAATGACTCTCTAAATAAAAAAAAATGAAGAAAAAAAAAAGAAAAAAAAAGGGTCAAGTGATGTTGTAGTTCGATGAGAGCAGCTAGGTGTTGTTTGTGGAATTGTTTTGGTTGAATGGTGAATGTGCTATATTGTTCATTTCGGATCTGTAGCGGAGAACTCGAGTAATCTATTTACTTGAGGATGGTGATTGTATATTTGAGCTATTTTTCTGGCATATATATCCTTACCACAATCCCGCATTGCAACCCGTGAAGTCCTCTTGATTCGCAAGTTTTTGAGCTTTGATTGTTTTCGAGTAATTTAAACGATTGGCAAGCATATGTTGAAACTTGAATATTGACCAATTTTGGGCGTTCCTATCACTTATTCATGTAAGAAAATGAGTGAGGCATATATGATATTCTATGTTTTGAGAGTTTGTCATTTCAAGGCCAAGTCGATATTTGAGGCACATGGTCGTATGTTTGTTTGAATTCTTCTCAATTGAATTGGGCATTTTGAAGCTTTTCTCATTTGAAACCGAATCCAAGCTCTTGTCTTGTTTTGTTTTCTTTTTGTTCGGGACGAACAAAGGATTAAGTGTGGGGGAGTTGTTTGTCCCATTTTTGTTGCATTTTTCATTGTCTTTTTGTCTTTCTTTTTCCCCCATAATGAGTCTTTTCTTTGGGTTTTATTCGTTTTTGTAGTTTATTGCGTGTTTTGATCTATTTCAGTTTTTTTTCTTGTGTTTC